GGCTAAAATTTCGAGTAGTTTGTTACCCAGCAATAGATAATTAAAACAATCCTCAAAAAGGGAAATAGAATGTGACCCAAGAATAATACACAGTGTAACCCAAGAATAATAGATTCACACAAGATGTTATCCAAGAATAAAAGTAACAAGTAGCTACTTTCATAAAGGAAAAATGTTAGGCAATGCAAGATCCACTAAAAGCACTACTTGTTAAGAAAAATCAGCCAATTAAAAGATTAAAGAATTCAAAAACAGAAATTGTGGTGAAAAAACTGACAGTGAGTATTGACTCTGTTAAAATGGAGAAATGACACCAAGTTACTATGAAAATTTTGCTCTGGACTGGAAAATAAATGTTAAAAATCATACAATAATAAACTATAATAATAATGTAAGTAACAAACCACAGGGGGAGGAATTGTCTTTCATCTTTTCCTAGCAAGATGTTAATTACTACCAGCTAAGATGTAAATATTTTATTAAAAAATAAACACAACTCCAACCTCTTTGTATTTTTCATAAATTCTTTGTTAAGAGGAACCTTTTAGAAAATATTATCTGTGGTGAAGAACTATCTCCTGATTTTGAATTTCAACAGTTCCTTTAGTTTCTTTAGTTTCACTTGTTTCTTTTCTTATATTATATATTTGAATTAAATTGTAGTTAGAAATTGGATTTGTATTATTATCCCATTTGTAGAGAAACTTATCTTTCACTCTTCCTTTCACTGAAAATGTCTCAAGTGAGATTCATTGCTGTGTTCTTTCTTTTTTTTTTTTTTCTGCTTTTTTTCTCCCCAGACCCCCCCCGTAAATAGTTGTATAATTTAGTTGTGGGTCCTTCTGGTTGTGGCATGTGGGATGCTGCCTCACCATGGCCTGATGAGCAGTGCCATGTCTGAGCCCAGGATCCGAACCCTCAAAACCCTGGACTGTCAAAGCGGAGAGTGTGAACTTGACCACTCGGCGACGGGGCCGGCCCCTGCATTATTTCTTAATGATAGAATTTGATGATTTTTTCATTTTTGTTTTTGTACTTTTCTGCATTGCATAAATTCTTTGTCATCTGCAAATATTGATTTTATAATAATAATTGAGTAATTTTTAAAAGCAATTAAGATAAAATACTAAAAGCAAATAGGACAATATGTTTAGTGATTTATTCTAGATAGTGGGAATATGTATGGTTGTGATTTTCTTCTTTGTACCTTTCTGTATTTCAAGATATGAATGAATAAAAAATGATTTTCTTTTTTTTAGGGGCCAGCCCATGGCCAAGTGGTTAAAATTCCACATGCTCTGATTCAGCTGCTGAGGTTTGTGGGTTCAGATCCCAGGCACAAACCTACTCCACTCATCAGCCACACTGTTGAGGCATCCCACATACAAAAGATAGAGGAAGATTGGCACAGACGTTAGCTCAAGGTTAATCTTCCTCACCCAAAAAAAACAAAAAAAATTTTAAAGAGCAACAAGTTTCCAAAACATTTTCCATAAAATACATGCAATTATTGATATATTTATTTTATTACATACATTTTATTGCTTCATTGAGTATAGAAGCAACACATGCTCATTCTTAAAAAAATATAAATGATATAAAATGTAAATATGTAAAAAAATTTTTTTAATGTAAAGAAAAGATGTAAACAATCACAATGGTCTACATTTCAGTACACAGTGGTGGGCCCTGTGAATAAGCATTTTCTTCTGGTTTCTCATTGTATATGATATCAAACCTGAAGTGAGTTTGCTCACCTGTTGTGCAGCAAGCCAATCTCTGACACTGGGTGTAGTGGAAGAAAGTAGGAATTTTATTATTGCACAGCACTGAGCAAGGAGAAAGGGCAGCTAATGCTGAAATCTCAAACTCCCAAAAAACCTTAAAGTAAGGGTTTTTATTTGGGGTTTTAGGTAGAGGAGGGGGAGCATATGGCCTTGCTGGTCAGAGCTTTTCCACCAGCCTGTGTTTGGCCTTGAGACTCCTTGCAGAAAGCAGGAAGCCCTTGACCTTGCTGGTCAGCAGCTTCCCCACCAGCCTGTAGCTGCTTTCAGAAAGGAGGAAGAGATAACGAATCCAGGTGGTTGTCCTCGGCCATTTGTCTCCATGGCTCCATGGCAGGTAGTAGATTCTGGAGCCAGGAAGCCAGGGAGTAAGCTGGGAATGAGTGCTTTGGTTTTAAATCCATATATGCTGTGTTTAATGTAGGGAAACAGATATCAGGGCCAGTATCATATATATAATCCACGAGGATGAACGTCCTCCTTGAAAAGCACAGTGACTATTTGTTCCCTGCTGTATCTTCCATGCCCAGAACAGCACCTGCACAGATCTTGCACTCAACTAACACTTCTTACACTGATTAACAAATGGTTTTAAGTTGAGATAATGTAGTAGTTATGGATTTGTGTTTCCCTTTATACACTTATTTCATATAATAAACTATTCCCCACCTGACTAAATATTTTTCTCAAACATTTCAGGTCTGCTAAAAGTCCATCATATGGAGGCTTTATTTAACTATTTCCCTCTTCTTGCACAGTTAATTTTCTAAAATCTCACTTTTGTGTGTGTGTGTGAGGAAGATTGTCGCTGGGCTAACATCTGTGCCAATCTTCCTCTGTTTTATGTGGGATGCCGCCACAGTGTGGCTTGACAAGTAGTGCTAGGTCCATGCTCTGGATCTGAACCTGCAAACCCCAGGCTGCTGAAGCAGAGCGCACCAACTTAACCAATTCACCACTGTGCCGGCCCCCCTAAAATCTCACTTTTATAGAAGTTCAAGGAAGTGCCTTAAATATAAATTTGTCTGTATATCCATGTCTGATTATTTCCTCAGCACAGATTCTAAAATGCAGAATTACTAGATCGACAAGCATGAATATTTTTAGAGTAGTATGATTTAGCAATTTATAATAGTGACAACATACTTACAACTAACATTTATTGAGCGCTTGCTCTGTAGCACACATTTGACTAACAACTTCAGCTATCTTGTCTCTGAGCTATCCCAGTGACCCTACACGGTGAGTACTATTGTTGTTGCCATTTTTCAGACAAGAAAACCCAGGCCGAAAGAGTAACTTTCCTACAGTCACACAATTAGTAAGTGGTGGAGGGAGGATTGGAACTATGGCAAGACCACCCCAGGGCCTAACTCCATCCTCAAAAGTAAAAGTTTGGGAATAAGTTTGTTTGGGTTTGTAACTCACTTCGACCATTTACTAGCTGTGGGATCTGTGCAATTACTTAACCTCTTTGGCTTTTGTTTTCTGTAAAATGGAGTTAATAACAGTATCTTCTATAGTGAGAATTAAATGAGATAATGTAAATAAAACTCTTACTAGTGCTGACATATAAGAATAGATCAACATAAGTTAGCTACCCAGTTGCTATCTTGATATTTATGAAGCTCTGAATATACCTTGCATATTTTCTATAAAACCCTTACACGCTACATCCCCACCAGGAATGTTGTCGACAGATTTATGTAGCTGCAGATTATGCTGGGTTCCAAGACTGCCAAGAAAAACAGTAGACCAAAAAGATGACCTACATACAGCAGAACCCGCTTCCTGTTGCTTACACATCACATACGCATCCTACAGGTGTTTTCTGGATTTTTGACACTAAGCTTCCTTTCTAGGCTTTACCATGATTTTCATTTTGGAAAGAGGAATGTAAATAAACAAGGTGGAGAATTTGACAGAATAATTTGGTAAATCAAATTATTAAAATTAATTTGATATGAAACCTCTGGTTAATGAGGCAAAACTGAGGTTGTTTGAAATTATAGATAATTTCATCATTAGCCTTTATTTTTTTTTCTATGCATCCAAGAAGCTAGAGGAAAAGAAAAGAGAAATAACTGGGTACTCTTGAGACTCTGCTTGATGTTTGAATCACTAATAAAGTAGAAACATTTAATTTATGTTATTTTTTATCTCTTTCAATTTTTCTCATCCTTACTGCAGTAAAACCATGTATTTTGTTGTTATAAGCAAAATAATCTCATAATTTACAATCAATTGACAACAAGGATCTCAAGAATTCAAAAAACGTAATTACATTCAAAGTGTACAAAACTTTACGGCGAAAGTGTACAAGGTATAGAAAATTGGATGAATATTTTTATCAAAATATGGAAATTAAAATAAAGGTAAAAATCAATAAAAATTTCTGTTTTTCAAAAAATGTTATTTTTCTTTTAAAATAGTCAAAGATTTATTGAAATTAAAGGCAAAATACAAACTAGAAAAGAATCACAAATTTTAAATCAAAATTATTTTTAAAGTTTAATTTTTAAAAATTTTTTGAAAACAATTACATTGCATTACTTTTTCAAATTAAGCATAATTCTAGCATTCACTGTCCATCTAGTTGTCAACATAAAAAATCATCCCACTTCAGTATGTTCAGACATATATATATGCACATTTAAGAGTGATGGATTGTTCAACCTCGTTTGCCACTGTTCTAATACCATGTTATTCCTGAGCATCTTCAGAGGCGCTCACAATTTGGAACACGAAGAGATGCAAGAAAATGGAAGCTCCCTGCTAACTGGAGAGTGACCCTTCCATTAAGCAAGGATCTGCTGCATTCACGCTCTCTCAGGGAAGGGCTTTGCCAACCTGTCCCTCCTCTTACCTAGGCACTCCTGCCCTGCAAATCCTCCGCGCGCTGTAAGGCAATGTGATTTTCTGACATTGGCAGCAGCATGGCCCCAAACCTTCACATTTGGTCATAGGTGGCCTTTAGTTTCAATGAAATGAGGCAGGAGATGTGGAGAAGCACTTCCCTGGGGCCTGAATGTGAGCCACAGGAGTGAGCATCTGGGGTCACAGGTCACTCTGTGCCAGTGTGCGCATCATAACGATAAAGGTGCTGTCTCAGGCAGTCAGGCTGCTATCACAGAATACCATAAACTGGGGGGCTTCAACAAGAAACATTTCTCACAGTTCTAGAGGCTGGCGACCCAAGATCAGGGTTCTAGAATGGTCAGGTTCTTGGTGACGCCTTCTTCCTGGTTATATCCGCGCAATGCCTTCCTTTGTGCATGCATGCAGAGACAAAGAGAGAGAGACAGAGCGAGGGAAGGAGAGAGAGCCTGTGTAATGTATAAGGACATTAATTCCATCATGAGAGTCCCACTTTCAAGACCTAATCTAACCCTAATTACCCGACCAAGGGCCTCCCCTCCCAATACCATCACATTGGGGGTTAGGGCTGCAACATAGGAATTTGGGAGGGACACAAACATTTGGTCCACAGCAGGTATCCATGTGTTCTTTAATATATTTATTTTGTGGATGTTTCTGTGATATGTGTGGCCCTCTACAGTGTGGGGCCCAGAACAGTCCTCCCTCTTGCCCAGCGTGAGGAGCAGAAATACTGTGAGGAAGTAAGTATTGCTCCCATCTTCAGAGTCGCCGTCAAGAACACCCGAGTTGAGGTTCCTACCACTAGAGTTGCTGGCACAGAGCCCTTTAAAGTTCGCAATAGGTCCTCAAGGGCAGGCGTTCCCTCAGAGGCCAGAATCCCAAGTGAGATTTCGAAGGGGCTGGCTCTTCCATTCACAATAACAGCAACTCAAGGAGCAGAGGGCCTCTTGAGGGCTGGTTCAGGACAGGCTACAGGGCCAACTGCTCAAAGGCCCTACTTCCCCTTTTGATTTAGGGTCAGAGCCATCTTCTTGTTCTCACATCTTATTTCAGGGGCCCTGTTACATTACTTGCACTTGGGCCTTGATTAGGACACCCTAGTCCAAATCTATGAATCCACCTGAAACCTTAACCTCAGGTAGAAAACTTGGGAAGCAAGGATTGAAGTATTTCTGTCTCCCTTCCCAGAAGCCCCCTGGGCTCCTGATATAAATGTTTTCCCTCAACCTCTCAGCTCAGAAGCTGGCTTTAAACTAACTGCCTCTTTTTACCTCTCTCCTGGGCAAGGGCCAGGCTCTCCTAGTATACAGAAGGCGTAGTGATCGTCTCAAAGGTCTACTACTCGACCAGTGCAAGAAGGACGTGGCAACATCTGCAAAAGAAGAGACAGAAAATATTCATGTTATCCCTATGACAAATTTGGCAGATAATCTCATTAGGCAAGTCAATAAAAGCCTAATATTTATGTACTTGGAAGTCAGCAGAAGTCTTCAAATAGTGTTGAGATATTATCACAGCAATTTGATAACACTAGTAATTTAATACGTTTTATCTAGCTGGTGTTCCAGGAGAATATGCATCTCTGTTGCTTGTCAAGAGTATTACCTTGGTAGTTTATTAGCGATTATTCTCGATTAATTCCAGTGTTGTACGTTGAATGCTTGTCAAGATTCTAGATTTCACCACAGAGAGGCAAACATAATGTGCACATCTTTAAAGATGAGTATAAAATTTCTTAACACTTTTAGACAGAGAAGATAAGTCAGTGTTTAACGTCAGTGTTTTTATTTATGTGGAGCTAGCACATGTAAAAAGGAAATTTTCACTGCTTAGGATATGGACTTTATGCAATCACACTATAGCAAACATTAAAATTCTTTTTATTACCTATAACGTTTATTTTTTCTGATTACAAAATTAATACTACCTACAGAAAACTATAGAAAAGCACAAAGAGAAAAATAAAAATCACCCATATCCCTTCACCCAGATATAAACCTGTTCACATTTTGGTAAGATCTACCAGTATTTTTCCAGCACATAGGTATGTGTATCATTTAATTTAAAAATGGGGTTCTTAGCATGCATTCAGTTTTATAGTTTGATGTCTTCATTTGCCACATTATGAGTTTTCTTGACATTATTCAATATTCTTCTGTGGTTTTTTTAATGGCTAGAGAAAAATCATACCATTTGGCTATACTCTAACCAAACTCCTGTTTTTAGACATTTTAAGTTATTTCTTCTGTTTTACTATTACTTACTTCAAGCACACTTCTAGAACTAGAATTTTTGGGTAAAAGTGTCTACACATGTTGCAGGCTCATGACACCTACTGCAAAGTGCAGACAGCCACCACCCCACAGTCACACCATTCACACACTCAGCAGAAATGCACACAGCAGCCTGTTCCTTCCGTCATAGGGCCTTATAGGTTTGCCAGTATTGCCAATTTCTTTAATTACTAGAGAAGATGTTTTCTTCATAAATTTAATTGCCTGTTGTGTACTCTACCCATTTTTTAATTGAGCTATTCAAATTTCTCAATGATTTTTTTACCTTTGATAAAATAACTATTAAGATAATTATCCTTGTCATATATTTGCAAACATTTTCCCAGTTTGTGATTTTCCCCTGTAATTTTGTTTGACTTTCTTTGACACTCAGATGTTTTAAATTATTTATGTTGTCAAGCTTATCAGTCATTTTCCTTATGTTTTATGTAATTACACAGGAGTGTTCACTCAGTGAAAATTCATCCAGCACCCATATGATCTGTGCATTTTTCCATAGGTATATCATATTTCAATAAAATTTACTAAAAATAGCAAAGATCTTTTCTAGCCTATATATACATAGTCCCTAGACTGAAAATGAATTTCATTTTCTACTAAATCAAGGACTGGTAATCTACTCCAGGAGCACAGAAAATTTGTCTGTCTTGTTCTCTAATTTATCCCTAATGTCTATAATAGTATTGATCACATATTTATGGGAAAAAAAGAGTATTTTAAAATTTATGGGGCTGGCCTGGTGGCATAATGGTTATGTTCAGGTGCTCTGCTTCAGCAGTCTGGATTTTGCAGGTTTGGATCCTGGGCACGGACCTACATGCTGCTCATCAAGCCATGCTGTGGTGGTATCCCACATATGAAATAGAGGAAGTTTGGCACAGATGTTAGCTCAGAGCAAATCTTCCTCACAAAAACAAACAAAGAACTGCCTCAATGAGAGAGATTTTGGTTTTCTCACCCGGTCATAAGAGAACTAAATTAAAACTGTTTTTGCCTTCCAATAAGAATTTTTTTAATTATAAATATGGTTTTTAAAAAAGATTGAGTTTTTTTAATTGAGTTTTTTAAAAGAAGAAGGCAATAAGAATTAATCCAGAAATTCAATGTCTTCCTGGATTAAAGTGTACCCTATATTTCAAAATTCTTCCAGGAGGCCCTAGGTTTCAGATGGATCCAAGCAGAGTCCTTTCAAAGATCCAAGAGCGTGTAACAGAGAGAAGGTCTCTGAAGCTGTGAGTGATACAAATAGAAAGCCCCATGTAGAAAGCACCTTCCTAAAATAAAGCCAAACTGAGAAAAAGCAGAGCCAAATGGGCTACTCAAGTCCTGACGTGATCATGTGAACCTCTGGATTCAGCTACACCTGAAGCAGACTTGGGATTAGGGCGAGGCAAGTGAGGCACTCATCTTGGGAGAAGAATTTAAAAGGATGTAAAAAAAACTCAGTAATCAAGAAAATAGTATTTTAAATAATACTTTTAAAACTCAACATTAATATTAAAAAAACCCATGATGAAAAAAACGTCAGTTTTTATAACAAAAATATTCTATCTTACTCTGTACTTGCATGACCTCCCTCCCTCACCTCCCTCTAATCCCAGCTCTGAGACATCCTGGTTACATGAGAAGATAAATTCTATAAATTAATTTTTTCACTCAAGTTAATTTTAGTTCTGTCATTTCCAACTAAAAGAGTCCTAAGACCTCACTTCACAGTGCTACTGTAAGCCCTGCATGATAAACACATGTGCAGCGCTTAGCAAATGCTTGGTGCATATATAAGTGTTGGTTTGGGGGCTGTTGTTATTCACTGAAATGTCACCTCCCCTCCATTCCCATCCTGAAATACTCCAAACTCTAACACAAATCTATTGCAGATGTCTTCAAAATTGTAAAAACAGCCCTGTCTACATGGGTCCTGGGGGATGACCCCAGGTACTGTGCTCTGAATCCACCACAGTGTGGGTACCAAAGTGATGCTGCTCAAGAGCTGCTCCCAGCCAATGACCAAGTACGGGAGCGAAACCAAGGCGGGCTCATTCCTCACCTGGGGACCTTGCCTTGAGGACTCCCCATTGGCTTGCCGAAACTTTTAGAACTGCACTGCAGTCTAGGACTCTTCCTACCCACCTCTCTTCCTTCCCTCTCCTTCACAGGGGTCAGAAAGGTATTGTGGTCTGAGATTCTCTCAGCCTCCTCTGTTCCCTCTGTCTCCATTTTCCCTCAGAGGCATTTTCCCCAAGAAATTTCTTGCATTTCTGATCCCATCTTGATATTGGCTTCTCGAAGGACCTGAACTAACACAGGTCATAATCTGTCTTTTCATTCCTGTGGGTGCGTTTCTCCCTAAATGACTCAGGCCAAGCAGAACTATCAGACTTGTTAAACACACACACACACACACACACTCTTTCAGAACCAAAGGCCAAAACTCCTTGGCCATCAGGTTGGCCTTAGAGACTTGGCGATATGACTTAGTGGAAGTCAGTCTGTAGCTAAAACAGCATACTACTGAAACCACAAGCACAGGCAGATGATCAAGAACCTGAATCATGGACAATTGCTTCTCCTTTTTCTTCTTTTTTTGGCCATAATTTATTTATTCAAATTACTTAAGAAATAGGAATGATTCCGGTAATTTCCAGCTTAATTTTCTGGAACACCTATATTCCTGGCACCTGAAAATTGGAGCTTCTGGCCCATAAGCCACAGTTCCTGTTCCCCAACACTCATCCCCAGTTGCTCAGGCATCACATGAGAACCATGTAGGTCAAACATGTTGCCACCACTTACTCTCCTTTGGATCAGCAGGTCCCCTTGGAAAACAAAAACACAGAATTCTTACATCTTTAAGAGTTGTTTTACAGTATCTACACTGACCAGCTCCCATTTAAGAGAAAGGCTCCATCTTGACAGTGAACCAGACTGTTGCCTGTTGAGTCCCCCAGGGCGTATGATAACCCAGGAACTTCATGCCACTTCTCCACCAGTGGGTCACCAGGCATTCTTCAAGACATAACCCACCCACAAGAGATATCCAGCGATTCCTGACCTGCCACAATGAGAGAAAGTTTGCACGTCACAATACGCAAAGTCTGTGCCATGCCAGAAATCTTACCAGTAAACCCAAAAGCCTCCTTCATAACCTGGAGCAGGCATGGGGGACTGTATTTACTGGTTTGATGATGTTGCCTTTGTTCCAAGGTAATGATGACATCATAGCAATTGTGGATACTGTTTCAATAATAGTTCATTTTCCTAGGTACTAGGAATGTCCCTCCCATAGCCATCCATACTACTATGCCAGAAGCTAACAATTACTGCTTCTGGAGTAATTCTAGATGACTGACAGGGCCTAAGGGAAAATATTTTATTTTTATATCCTTTTATAGCTACTGAAGTTAAAGCCATATAATTACATTACCCATTCAATAAACAAACAAAATGTAAAATAAGACAGATTACTATGCTGTTCCTATAGAAATTTTAGATGATCTTACCAGAATCAAATCAAGGGTCACAATTCACCCAAATTGGGAAGAGACTCATGTCAGTCTGTTTGGGCTGCTACAACAAAAATAAAGTAGACTGGGTGGCTTCATCAACAGACCTTTATTTCTCACAGTTCTGGAGTTTGGGGAGTCCAAGATGAAGCACCAGCAGATTCAGCTGTCTGGGGAGGGTTAGCTTCGTAGTTCATAGATGGCCTTCTCACTGCATCTTCACATGGTGCAAGAGGCTAAAGAGCTCTCTGTGGTTCCCTTCATAGAGGCACTAATCCCATTCATGAGGGCTCAACTCCTGTGACCTAATCACCTCCCAATGCCCCACCTCCTAATGCCATCACATTGGGGGTTAGGGTTTCAACAGATGAATTTTGGGGGAACACAAACATTCAGTCTACAGCAATACTATTCTTCGTCTCTAGGTATCTCTCCAGTATAACACTTACAATGATGTCTTAGTTATACCTGCTCCCAAAACACCTGGGTCTCCCTCCCTCCTTCATATCTCTGAGTGCTGCTAATAATGCCATCCATTCCTCCATCAAGAACATGGTGTTTCAATAAAACTATGGAGTCTATCATTCATGTCTCAGAATGCTTTCTTCCACAAGGCTGTCCAAGATTGATAATTCCCTAGCTGAACCCAATCACCCTGTATTCACCTTACAGGAAGCTGAGACAATGTAAAAATTTCTTATAGATCAACAAAAATTCCTAAGGACAGAGACTCTTCGACACTTCGGGTGAACTTTTAAATCCCCATACATTGAATGCAAAATCACATGCATATATGCATTTATTATTTTTTCTAGCGAGGGTTCATAACTTGAATCAAATTCTCCAAGTGATTGATAACCACCAAAAAAACCTTAGGAACCATGTAGCAGATGCTGTAGGTGCCTGGCCTGTATTCACTCAGCATTTACTGTTCCCATACTTCCTATGGGTGAGAACCACTGCCTGCCTGCCTGCTAGAGGCCTTTCTCCAACTGCAGGAGGTGCTAGACCCCTAAAGGACAGATGGGGAATGCTGGGGAGTTAATGTCCCCAGGAGCAGCCTTTAGCCATTGACAGATGGGACTTGGTGAATAAACACCCCAGCTCCTCAACCCTCGGATGGGACAACTCCAAGACTTACTCTACATAATCTTCCGGGATCTCCCATTGGGATTGACTCATTATCCACAGTCAGTCTGCTCATCAACATGCCTTCTATTGACTTTCTTCTGTGGTTGTCTCACTTCCCCATTTCACTACTTGTGCTTACTGAGATCACCCTCTGAATAGAAACCTGCAGTCAAATCTGTATCTCAGAGTCAGCCCAGTCAAACCATTACCCCAGTGGTTTCTGTAGAGACAATCCGTTCTGGCTATGACTCAGGTCATCTATATTCTAACCAAGCAATAAGAAAATCAGACTGCCTGCTAAATGGGCCCAGTTCTATATCCATTTGAATATAGAAAACCTATCATTGGAAACCTACCTGTGTTTCACTGATACCTCCTGTAATGGTGACACAGGCCCTACTTTGTATTCAACCTCACTACTCTTCATACCACACTAGAGGTAGCTTATGGAGAAAATATCTTACTCTTCCTAATATTTTAGGTCTCTATGCCCAGCATCACTGCTTAAAAATTCTCAGCAGCCCTTTGGGCCCCGAGGGGAAAAATAAAAGGAATGAAAAAGGAGCTGACCTAGGATGTCAGGAGGCTAAATGTTTATTTCCTCATTCTGTTGAAGATTACAACCTACTTGGTTTATTTGTTCTTGATTTGAAGTGAGACTCGTCTTTCTTTCTGCCTTTACTTGGCTCTCATTCTTCTTAAGAGGTTAACTGGAGCCTTAGTAACGTTCTCCAAAGTCGGCCCCTGGAATCTGTAGCATGTCTTTTGGCAGATGGCTTTTTGCGATTCTGCAGACCAAATCTAATTATCCACTTTGAGTTGTCATCTGAGTTTCTATTTGAGTTGCCAGTGTTTGTCCATTTGATTCTTCTCCTGTCCATTAAGCAATTTTAGTGCAT